TTAATCAAGCTACTGATGCACGTAATGAAAATATTCAGCAAACCAACACGCATATTCCACGTAATAACTTATTTTACTTATTATTTATCTCATATATTATTCTGATAAGAATTTTCCTAATTAATTTAATTTACAATATCACGTTTACAGGTAAAAGACCAAGAGGTACTCGAGCAGGGGTCTACAGGCAACAAGAGCGCTTCATGCGTTTCTTATATCAGTTGTCATCTGCACATTATAATTGGGGACGTAGAGGACGCCCCAATTATACAAATAAGATAAAACAATCAATGTACGCGCGAGCCTTCGTTCTCGGCGCGAGCCACTGAATTTTGCTTAAATGAATTAGCGTAGAATGGGCGGCTGTGGATGGAATAAATGGAGACACGGTATTCCTTGTTCTTTGCACTTGTTTATTTAAACAACAATCACGCACTAATGGTGATGTCGAGAGATTAGCGGCGATACGCGTGAATCGTCTCGGAGCTTGCGACGGACTGCCGAGGCTCGGCACCGGCCGGGCGGATCCCAGGCCGGTGCGGAGCAGCGGCGAATAAGGAGTCCTTGTAAACGAGTCGCGAGAGCGCAAGGAACCAATTGGCAATTAGGAGACACGCGTTTGGCACGCGGTGTATCGATGGCTCATTCATGTATGAGTGAGAACAGGATGTTTACGCCCCATGCCCCGGTTCCTTGCGCGCCCGCAACTTCGAGAAGGAATGAAATCTTTAAGCTGACCTAGAGGCATATTTTACGCTCGTGCGTGAACAAATAAGGTGATAATTTTTTTCACATCCGTCAAAGATATCATGTCGTGTAATTATTAATTTAAAAGAAATATTATTTTTTAATTTTTTAGCAACGTCCGCCATCCAGTCGACAGTAAGAGAAGAGTTTATTCTCATATGACTTATACTTAATATTATATTTGACATTATATTTATTTTTTTATTAAGAGTTTATTACCATGACTTAAATTTAGTATTATGTATTTAGTATTATATATAGCATTATATTTATTTTTTTTTAAGTTCATAGTACGTACATTGTTCTTCTAAGTCTTCGAAATGTAACATGTATACAAAGTGTATCGATGTTTTAGTATTAAAAATTATTGTAGTATACGTGTTATGTTACTTGATTTATTACTTTTTTTTATTACTTGATTTGTCATTTTATGTGTATTCAAGTCATTTTATTATATTCAAATTTTAAATACACAAATAATCAATAAATATATGTGAAAATGTAGCTTTTCTATTTCATAAATACTGTCTCTTATACAC